TAATATACTTAGCTTACCACCAATATAAATGCTTTCCGCAATAAAACTTAAATTGCTTTGGATGGAGTGGCATAAATTGTCCATTAAATAATATGTTTTTAAAAATGTTCATAAAAATGATTTTTTTTTTATATGTTTTTTATTACAATACCTATGATATACAATATTTTTTATTAATAAAAAAATGTTTGCATACGTGTGTGTTTTTTTCTTGGGATAATTCATACTTTTCTACCCTTTCTAAAGCGCGGGTACGCCCATGATGACGCGGGTAGTTAACTTTTATCTTTAATTTACTTGTTACCAAAAACTAAATACGACAACGTTAATGAATGCCAATGAAGAACTAGGGCTAGAAATAAACAGGAATAAGACAAAATATATGGTTAGCTGCAAAAATGGATATATTACGGCTGATATCGATATAGATGGTAATATTTTTGAACAGGTAGAGAAGTTTAAGTATCTAGGGTCTATGATAACTGGAAAAAATGAAATTGAAGAAGAGATTAAGGTTAGACTGAAGGTGGGAAATGCTTGTTATTTTTCTGTTACGAAACTACGTAGCTAACGCCTCTTGTCCCGGAACTTAAAAATTAGAATCTATAAAACCATTGTCTTACCTACAGTTCTTTATGGTTGCGAAACGTGGCCGCTTACATTAACGGATGAGCAACGTCTTAAGGTTTTTGAAAATAAAGTATTACGTAGAATATTTGGACCGATGAAGGATGAATTAACCGGAGAGTTTAGATGGTTACACAACGCCGAATTGCGTGAACTGTATCCGGGTAATATAATTGAGGTAATTTCATCCCCGTGAATCAAATGGTCCTGTAAAATTTTTGGGCTAGCGATTGAAGCCAAAGCGTAGGTTGAAAAATTTCTTACCAGAAAAATATATAGTAATCTCTATTTGTTGGATTTATCGAGTCTAAGATAATGTCAGTATCGCCTGAATCTGTAGGTTATTGTTACACTACTGTCAGTTTTTTTATTTTTAGTTTGATACCTGAATTCACAAAGCATCTGTCAAACCGTGGTTCTCAGAATTCCTGAATTCTACCCATTTTTGCATAATGGAAACAGATTCGTTGATTCTTCGCGCTATGACGTGTAAAAGGTAATTAAACCTTATCCGATTTTATTTCAAGGATCCTTGAATATTTTTTTGTGCGAGTCAAGCTGCTAATTTTTATTTAACGAATATAAAGCAATGAAACAGGAATTTCCCACAGTACAATGTTTTTTATAATAATTGAGGTCCGTTAATTTAGATAATTACAGGTAGTCAAAGTCGTTCTGATTATAATTTAAAATTAAGTATGTCGAATCGGGCCATAAAAATTGCAGGAGGGCTTTCATCTTCCAGCGATAAGGAAATGTTCGATTTTCTTTAATAGTAATCTAGGCAATAGGTCCTTGAGTTTCTTCTGCGTTCATTTGTCGAACACATTTGATGAGTTAATGAAAATTATTTTATTATTTTTCAAGGGCAAAATAAACTTTTATCTAGCCTATTATAGTTTTTTTTTTTGCTATTTGTCAAGGTTTTTCTAGTAATATCAATCTTTTACGTAATTAATCTTGACCTCTTTTTATATTATATTGATAAATGAAATCAAAATTGATTATCATATTTAAAAAAGAATAGCAGGTTAAGAAAATCATTTTGTAATAGACCCTTTAACTAAGGTTTTACTTTTTTATTTTTTTATTTTATTGAGATTTACAACTGTATTACATGGAAAATACAATAAGTAAATGTGACATTGGTAACATGACATGTACAATATGAAGAGAAACTACACATTGGTAGAACTAAAATTAAAATTCTATATTAGAAGGTCCCGAGGCCATCTTCTTTTCAGACGCCTCAGAGGATTATCAGGGATCGAGGAGGAAGCAAGGTTTGAAACGAGAGGGCTCGGATGGTTCTGCAATTTGTTATGGAAGGATAGGTATCTGGATTGGGCCAAATCGGAAACATATGGAACATTAAGATCTTTATGGATGATTTTATTTGTGACAAAGTAAGGAGCGTTGAGGATTTTACGAAGGATTTTGTATTGTAAGGATTGGATACGAGAGGAATTCGATGGTTTAGTGGAGCCCCAAAGCTCAATTCCGTAAGTTCAAATAGGTCTTATTATTGTCATATATAGGAGTCGTTTGTAATTGATTGTGAGCTTAGAGCGTTTGTCTAGTAGGTGCTGCAGTAGTCGAAAACGTCGGGCGGTCGGTTTTACTAATCATATTTCTTTCAATGCCAGTGTGATTTTCGACCGATTTTTCCTAGGTTTGTAAATATTTAATTAGATAATCACAATTATAAATACGCACTAGCAGAGTCAGGATTTAATTTTGGGAGGCTTCAGCCCGAATGTTTTTTTTCATATACGTATAACAATAATTAATTAGAAAAAAATAAAGAAATTAACTACCTATATGAAATGGTGTTTAAGTGGATCTTGAAGTCCAATTAAATTTAATTACACTAACAAGAATACTTTAAGAGATAGTTTTTAATAGTTTTTTTTCTGTAAAACATGGTTATATTTTACCATTTTGAGGGCGCTTCAGCCCGAAAGCCTCCTCCGTAGATCCGCCTGTGCAAATACATGCAATCCAAGTAATATAGATAATTGCTGTATCATCTTAACTAATAGTTTAGTAATAATAAACTAAAATTTAAAAAAAAAGTTATTATTTTAATTTAAATTAATTTGGTTTTACCATCATCTAGATATTCTAACTACATCGTATCCTAATAGGACATTGAACGTAGATTTGTTGACACGTTTATTGTATCTCAAAAGAAAAATGATATATCGTTGATTTTATTTTAAACACTTTGTTTTCAAGAGGAATGAAAAATGTTTATTTTCTCCCAAATCAAAAATGTTGTGGGATTAGATAATAACAATTTCTTTGAGTACTTAAAAGGTACATTCGACCACTTAAATATTTTTAACTACCAGTGATACAGTCAGTATATATAATCAGGTTTAAATATAATATTTCACACATTTTAAATTTACGTGTTGCCTCAATTACGTTTTGATAAGTTTTACTTTTAGGTTATTTGACTAAACAAAACACCACTCAGGGTAAATTATTAGCTTCTATTATTCCAAACGTGCTAAATCACGCTAATACGTTTGATACTATTTTTCTTTCTGTTTTTCGTAACTATAAAAGAGAAAATGGATATTACCAGTGACATAACTGAGAGAGGAAATAGATTCATTGAGAAGGAACTGGATCGACGTTTTGCGCCGAATCGTGAGGTGTGATTCCACCAGGAAGCGCTTACCCCAAATTACGAACAAGATGACTCCCTGAGAGAAAATATGAATTTATTCCACTTAGTTCCATTCAGTGGTGGATTGATCTATAAACAATATGTATAAGCCAGCGGTTGCAACATCAAGCAATTGGGAATGGGGGATCCTTCTACTCAATGTCTTAGTTAGGAAGCAATATAGGATTACATTATACCAGGGGTCTCCAAACTTTTTGGCCTGCGTGCGGCATTAAGGACCAGTAAGTGCCGCAGACCCTATTGATACCTACACTAAACCCCGTGGGTCATGGCTAGTGATGAAAAAAAAAGTTCTATGAATGACACTTCAATCGTGAAATAAGCTTCCTAAGAGAAACAACTCCTGCAATAAATGTTGTAGTTACCTCGTATTGGAGTAATTTACGAAATTTTATTTTTCTTATATATTTTTTTTAAATTTTACTATGTACTCTGCATTTTATAATTAATGTGAATTATAAAGCAGAAACATTTTTTTTTTTTTTTTTTTATAAAATATCTAAATAAATTTGCTGCCTCCTAAATTCTTTTCTTCAAAGTATCCTTTTCACTCCCACTTAGTTCCAGCTCTCTTATATCAGTAGATAATTATTTGAGTTGCTGTGGAATTTATGGTAAAAACTTAATAAAAGCATAAAATATTTGAATGGAAGTTGGATGGGATGTTCATTCAAAAATACAAAGTAAAAATAAATAAATGATATTTATTTTTATTTTTGTAGACGTTTCGACCCTTCCGACAGGCCTTCGAGCCTGATCACAGGGTTCTCATAAGATAATCGTATACATTTTTTATTCTGAAATCAGAAAAGAAAAATGAACAGTTGATTTGATGCTATGAGCAATGTAAAGTTGTTTTATTTTAATAAATAGTTGTGAAACATTTATACAAATTGTTATATTATCCACTAATTGTAATGATTTATTTCTAATTACAGAGAAATATTGTACTTACATTAAATATTATAACTACAATGCAGAACCATTAGATCCTTTGTGAACAACCGTAACTCATAAATGGATGATATAATTATATATAATATATTATATAGTCTCACGATAGTTCACAAAGGATCTAATTGGGCATTGCAGTTATAGTATTTAATAGAAGTACAGTATTTCTAGAGGGGCTGGAGTAGCCTTGCGGGCTAAGGCGCTAGCAATAGGTGTTCAAACTTAGGCAACGCCGAGCGTGGCTAGCACTTGGATGGGTGACCGTCCACCAAGGAAAGCCACGATGCCCGAGCTTCCTCCCCACGGGTACGTGAGACCCGTCATCCTACTGGAGACAAATTACACACCAACCGAAAAAAAAAATATATATACATATATATTTAACATATGGACTATTGTCCGCCTGCCGGGTCATCGCCTTTCGTGTTTAATTATACTAATTATTATTATTTTCTTAATACAATAATATTTCCAATTTTTCTCAGTTTTGAGTAAGATACATGTTTCTGTGACATTTTGTTTTGAATTTTAACTACTTCCTGGAAAGAATGTTATTACTAATCAATGATCTAATCATTATTAATCAAAGAAAAGAGAGTTGGACGTAATTCTTTAATAAATCAAAGATGCATTCACTTATAAACTAGTGTGTACAATGTTTGTCATACATTTGTATGATAAGAAATATCATGAATACTATAAATGTTTATTTTATTTCCAGATATGGTCTCCTAGGTCCTAGTGGATGTGGCAAAACAACACTGCTTAGCTGTATTGTCGGAAGAAAGCTGTTGGACAGTGGTTCCATCGAATTAGGAGTTTTTAGGAAGTCAGATATAGGTTACATGCCGCAGGTTTGTGTAAAATTTTAAATAATAATTATAGGGAAGAAAAAAAATTAAAAGTAAATGATTGTGATGAAACACTAAAAGAGAATAGAAACAAAATATAATTTTAAATTATTTAAAAAGATTCACAGACCTAATCTACAAACATTTCAATCAAAAACTTACAGAAATGCAACCAAAACTACATTGTAGGTCAGCAACATTACTTTACATTAAAGACCTACAGACACCAACAGTTAACAATCTTGACGAACACACTAAAAAATATTTTAATAACTTACACGGACATAAGAATTCAATGTATGGCCACAATCATCAATCATTAGGAGGCTTAAAAGAACCTTGATCTCCTCTTTTGATTAGGCATATAACTCTATTAAAAAATTTTGGACAGAATTTGTTTATTTTATAGGATACGGCACTATTTATGGATTTTAAAATTATTGAGATATTTCACTTCTATGGAACACTGTTTGCTTTGCCAAACAGCATTATTAAGAAGCGAGCGGATAAGCTTTCTAAAATGTTGGAGCTACCTCCAGAATATAGGTTCATCAATACATTAAGGTAAGTTTGTTATCAATGTAAGCAGTTAAAAAACTGAATCGAGTGAAAATCATTCTTTCATCAAATTTAAAATTTCTAACTTTCAGTGGAGGGCAGCAGAGGAGGTTATCTTTCGCTGTAGCTTTACTCCATGATCCTCAGTTATTAATATTGGATGAGCCCACTGTAGGTGTCGACCCTGTTCTCTGCCATAGGTAGAGTTAGAAAAAAATTCAGTGTATATTTTTTACTATTTTTACTATATTTTTTACTTTTTTACTCTAAAAAAAATAGATAATTGTATACAATAAAATTGTGATAACAAATAAATTTCTTTTTGCTTTCAGTATGTGGGAATATCTGATACATTTAGCAGTCGTTGAAACCAAAACAATCATTATAACAACACATTACATAGAGGAGGCGAAACAATCAAACATGGTGAGTTTGCATGAACTTTAAAATTTTCTGATACTTTTCCCTTTTCACATCCACATTTCGTTCTTTTCATAAAAAATAAATAATAATAATAATAAACTAATGAAATGTATATATATTATCTTCAGCTCAGTTTTGCTGAGGATACTCATTGCAATCTCACAGTATCAGACAAACTGGTTGATCATAGATAATTTCTCATTACCTAGATTTTGAATATGCAGACTTAAAAGCAATGCTCTATTGTTTTTAATAATTTAGATTGGACTAATGAGGGAAGGAGTTTTGTTAATAGAGGCACCTCCATTGGATCTCATCAGAGGTCAGGGCTGTTCCAGCCTCGAAGAAGCATTCCTCGAACTAAGTAGGAAACAACATGAAGCATCAAATGGGGATGAACATAAACTGGTAAATAAAACAACTAATTGAGTCATACAGTTCAAAGTAAACCCAAATCATCATTTCAGCAAACTCAAAAAATTATATTGTTCATTCCAATTATAATATTTAAACCATTATTTTTTTTTTATTAGAAAATTTTTCACTTGACGAACATATTTTCAAAACTTTTAATTATTCATATGACAATTAAAAACATTTTAATTAAAAATGATTTTTTTTTTATTATAGTTAAGACCATTCAAATAGAATTATAATAGGCACTGATTTTTCAAAAACCAATCTGGTATTTTTTTAAGCTTGGCGTAAAATCAAATTTATTAAGGTGTTAATAATAGAACAATAAAATATGTATTACTATAAAAAATAAATAACACGCATAATAAGAGTACTAGGAAAATAAAAAATAAATCCTTTCTTAATACACTTAACCAAACACATCATTAATAAGAGATAAAGAAATAACAGTTGAAATATTTTAATGATGATTTATCATCTGAAGGGATAATTTTTGCTAACTTAGAAAACAGTTTATCAACCTCTGAAAAACTGTACAATTTAAAACAAGAAATAGTGAATTAACATTTCTCAGAAAAAAATACCGTTGATCTCAATCCATATCAAAATGGAATATTGATTATTTAATCTATCTTGGTGGTTCTATCAACAGTATTTTTCTGAGAAATATTAATTCACTATTTCTTGTTTTAAATTGTACAGTATTTCAGAGGTCGATAAAGTGTTTTTTAAATTAGCAAAAATTATCCCTTCAGATGATAAATTGTAATCAAAATATTTCAACAGTTATTTCTTTATCCCTTATTAATGATGTGTTCGGTTAAGTGTATCATGAAGGATTTACGTTTTATTTTTCTAGTACTCTTATTATGCATGTTATTTATTCTTTATTGTAATACATTTTTATTAGGCTTAGAAGGAAATCAAATTGTAATCAAGCAACATTTTAAAAGTAAATAAAATACTGGTCAATGCAAAGTTTTGGAAATGAACTTATTTTCTTCCACTTTTTTTTAGAAAAAAATGTTTTTAAAAAAATAAAGATTACTTGTTTAATTTTATACAGGAAATAATATTATTCTCAATTTTCATCAAAGTTGATAGTCCTCATTATGTAAATATGCAACTCAGTTGTTCATGTTTGTAATTTTAATAATTAAGAACTTAATGCCAGTTATTGGTTTAAAACTATTAAGACTTTAGATAATAAAAAAATTAATAAAATTATAACAAATTGCACATATAGGTAGATGAACACACTATCAACCCAATGATTTATTAAAAATATTTCAATGGGTTCTCCATTTTACATATGAATCATCAAAAAAACTTATCTTGCACTCTGAATATTTTACAGTATTAAAATAAATTATAGATATCTGTTTGTTGGTTCTTGCAATATTACTAAAATAAAGAATTATAATAAAAAAAATTGAAGTAACTCGTTGGCACTGCTTTATTTAAAACATATGAAATGATAAATTGTAAAATGTTTTTATTACTACTTGTTTTCTTTATGACATTTCCATTAACCCTTCTCCTCAAATTATTTTTTATTGAATATTATTTCTCTGGAATTATGATTAAATCAATATCACTATGATAATAATACTGATAATATATTTTATTTAGGGAATGTTAAATTATAACAAGCCAAAGCCAATCAAAGCCAAACCACCTTTTCCAGCAGGTGAAGTTTTTAATTTTAGCAGATTTTTAGCCCAGTTGTGGAAAAATATACGATGGACACAACGAAATATTCCGTAAGTAAAAGTTGTAATGATTTAATAGTTCTTAGGTACTGAAACAATCATTTATGTTGAGCAAATAATTCCATTTAGTAGCCGTAGTTTTTTTTCTTAACTTATATTTCAAAGTTTTGTCAGAAAATATTCTAAACATGAAACCATATATTATATATACTTACTTGACCATATTTGTATTTTTATTTATTTAATAACTTTTAAGAAAATAAAAAGAAAAAGTTTTAAATATAAAATTTTATGGCTATCGTTATTAACTTTTGTTGAAAATGATTGACAGCTTGTTTTATTGGAGCAATTTGTTACTTGTAATAATTTTTTTTTAATGATAAATCAGGATTAAATATTAATATTCCAGCTATTAATATTAGCTATCACTAATCAACTAAAATATAAGCTATCACAGTCATCATTAAATTATATTTATAAATACTTTATAAAAAACTCAACATTATTTCATTTTTAACTTTCCCTTCTTAATTTTGAAGTCATGGATTGAATAAAAAAAAGACAATAATATTTTTTTTTCTAGATGTGGAAAATTATATTGAAAAAAAATAGTGTTGTGATTCATAAATTCGAATGTTTTATTGATGATAAATTTATTAGAAATAATATGTAAGATTATAAGGCGTGAGATATAGAATTCCAAAACCAACCAACTTCAGTTTTAATTAAATGTTTAAGTAGGCACTTAAACTTCGTTAAACATTAAATAGCGTGTTAAAACTATTTTTGAAAAAATCCTTTTATCCCGTCATCATCTAGTACCAAAACTGTTTATCACAAAAAAATTAATTAAAATGGAGTAGGCTGTTTTTAGAATTTTCATGGCACTTATTGGTTTTTTTTATTAACATATTTTTGCTCAACAAATTTTATTTTAGTTCATAACAAAAACAAAAAATAAAACTATTATAATAAATTTTATGGAATAACCTTTATTTCAATATAAAAAATATCTAAATCCATAAAAGTACATATTACATATCATATAATATATATTGTTACTTAGGAAGATAATAGCACAATTCAAAAGTTAATATCTTTCCAAATTTGGTGTGATTAAGTTTAAAATCATTAATTGCTGCTTGGCGGGGCTTTCTTCTCGGCAGTGAAGTGTATATATACTCAAAACATACTAAACCTATTAAAAGACATTTTCTAAATAACATATAATAATAATATGAGAGGAAGTAAGGCAAACTTGTGTATTAAATACCAGTGGAAGATCAAAGATTTATTTTTTGGAGGGAGCTTTTCTTTTTTTTATAAAAGTAACTACTCTGGAGAAATAAAAATACTCCTATATAAAATTTTGTTTAAGTAGTTCTTGAAGGCCAGTTAAATCAAAAAAATATTTTTTTTTTTAATTCATGCTTACGTTTAGTAGCTATAAATGCATTTTAATTTAAGCAGAGGATATATTGTGATTTTTTTTAGTATGTAGCTTTGATCACTCACCGAAACAAATATGGACCAATGAAAAAATAATTATTTTTCCATTTTGAGGCTTCATCCCAAAACCCCACCGAGTATATCCACTAGTGTTTAACACAATATTACTAATTTAATAAGTAATTAATTACAATACATCTTCAACCCTAATTTCAAATCCAATTTCCACATTTCCAGATATACCATTTTGGCATTGCAAAGGCAAACCCATGTAAATAATATAAGGTTATAAATATATATAATTTTTGCTTGTACTATGAAACTGAAGATAATAGTATTATGCCAGTCATGATTTTTTATTTTATTTATTTATTTTTTTTTTTTTAGGATACTTCTTTTCACACTGCTATTACCAGCTATTCAGGCTTACCTTTTCTGCGAATCATTTGGAAAAGACCCGAGAAATATAGTTGTTGGTTTAGTGTCAAATGAATTATATTCAATTAAAGATTCTTGTGATGATCTCGTAAATAATGTAACATATAGTCATTTATTGGAATGTAATGTTCCAGTATCATTTTCCTGTTTGTTTTTAAAAGAGTTAACAAATAAGATGGGTATAGTAAGTGTCTTATGTTATAATGTCATGAGCAGAGACTGGATTTTTATAAAGCAAAATACTTCAAATTTTTTTCAATTATTATAATTCAAAATGAAGATTCAATTTTTATTTAAAGTCACAAAAGTTCAGCAAACTCAAAATTAAAATAACCAACCAAAAATATTTTTAATTAATTATATGCTTTTGTCTATAAATATATAAAATAGAAATATGTTTAGTTGTACTGATAAATACACTAACTTAGAATGGTTTCTTACTATTGTTTAAAAGAAAAAAAAACAAACTAAATGTACATGCAAATATATAAAATTCTATTCTCTTGCCATAAGAAAGATTCAGAATGAAGATATTTAACTTTTGATAAATTGAGCTCATCAATTGCTTTTAATCCAGGAAGTATATTCTAACTTAATTGAAGCCAAAGAGGCTGTTTCTAAAAATGAAATCTGGGGTGTAATGGAGCTTCATAGGAACTTTTCGAATGCAGTAGAGGTGCGAATAAATGAAGGAATTCAGTCAGATGATGATATTATAGAAAAGAGTTCGGTTTCAGTTTGGATGGATATGTCTAGTAAGTATTATTTAAGTTAACTGTTACTGTATATTTAGCATGATAAGTAACAGTACAGTATCAGTGCTGGGCCTTAGTACTAGGTAATGGCGCCTAAAGGGGCTCCCGTTGGAGGCACTGATCTTCAGATGCGCTACTTGTAATTAAAATTATTAATTTTGGCTTATCAACAAAGCAACTGTGTTACAGAAATATTGAATGAAATCAAATTCAAATATTACATAATATAAAACATCTCAAGAAATAAACTTTATTTTTTTAGAGATGGAGATGACAATCATTGCCGGGAGTGCAAAATGTCTAAGACTAGCACTGTACAGTACAGCTCATGATTATTTATAAACTAATTACTGATTCATAGGGTGGTACAGGCATAGTGGAAAAAAAATAATTGATTTAGACATCTCTAGCAAAATAATATTTTTTAAAAATTGTTTGTATCTCAAAAGTGTACAGGAGGAAATTACTTTAAAAAAATTAAACAGGATTTTAATTTTTAAAAAATGTAATTATAATTGTCATTTTAGATTATATCGTTGCTCATATAATAAAGAAGAACTTGCTAAAATGTATGACGAATTTTGTGAAAGATATAGTACAGACTTGTGGTGCTCCAAGAAAAATTGGAGACATCCCAGTAAAGGTATAGTACTTTAAGGAACAATTTAAACCATTTATTTTCATGTTATTTATTAACTATACAAAAAAAAATTTCATAGCATGATTCTTATTTCAGCTAAATGATGCTATATTTGGAAGTAATGACCCAGTTTTTGCCCATAGTAGTGCTGCAGCATTCATATGCTCGTAATTTAAATTTAAATAAGTTACAATTTTAAATTCTTATTAGTATTATATCAAAATTAATAAATCAATATAGTTTTGTTTTGTAATTTTTAGGTTTGTTTTTTATTTCACGATGGTTTTCACAAGTGGTGCTATTAAGGTGGAAACATTGGCTGGCCTAATAGAAAGGAGTATGGTTTCAGGTACAGTGGAAAGTAATAAGTATCATACATTTTTTTCCAGGATTCATTATTGTAAAAATTATTTAAACATGGTTAGATTAAACTGTAAATGACACTTTGATAGATATGTTTAAATTTTTTTTAAATCAATCATATAAGCTTTTGGATATTTTATTCATTATTGTATTTCTTGTTAAAATTTTCATTGTTGAAATATAGAAGAACAGAAGTAGTTGATGAAAGAAATACAATGAATCCATTTTTAAATATCACTAACTTTCACAAGCTCAGTCTCCTTATATACATTATTATGAAGCTAAGATGCAAATGACCTTACTGGTTGCTACTAAATAAATAATTATTTGAACTGTTTGTTGATAATTATTAATTTTAGGAATGACGAGGTTTGAAATTGTTGCTGCTCATTTGATTGTCCAATTTTGTATGATGACTATGCAATCAATGCTTATGATGGTTGTAATGTTTGTTATATATGACAATCCATTGCACGGAAATATAACTTTGATTATTTCAATGGTGGCTCTAGTTGCAATTGTAGGCATTTCATTCGGTAAGTGTGGCCTTAAAGATTCCAAAAATTTAACTGATATTGTGGGTGATCATTAGTGCTAAAATTTTAGTTACATGTATAGAAAAGTGAATACTTGGTAAATTGCTTTTCTCATACGTGCTACCTTGTTCTGGAATTTCCTATCTACTTCTGTATGCAAATCCTCTTCCTTAACCTCATTTAAACACCATTTATTTTTCCCTCTCCTTAGCAATCAATCTTCCGAATAAATATAAGAATAATATTTTTGTGGTTTAGAGATGTCAATCTCATTTTGCTATTATCTTATAGTTTGCTGTTATCCTGTATCCATTACTGCTTCTAGAGCTTCTCCTCTTATTTTTATTGAATTTTAGCTCTGCTGGTTACCTAACATGAAGGTCAATGTATAAAGAGAATTCCAGATAAGAAGAGACAAAAAATTCCAACAACTACACATACAATTACCTACCAAAAAGTACCAATAAAGGGATGGTCAATCTTTCCTCTCATTTCTCATAATAGAGGTTGTGATTTTTTGATAAAATGTCTTTTTATGTTTGAACGAAAATTGATAGAAAATTTCTATTTTCATCATTTGAAAAAGCAGTATAGAGAGAAATTTTCTTTCTCTTTTTTTCACCTTTAATTGGTGACTAATTTTTTTATATATAAGTATATAAATATATATATAAAATATGGTATGCAATAATGCTAATTTATCAATAGCTAATTAACAAATTTATCAAACCATTTTCCCCCCCCACAATATATAACACATAAAAATTTTTTCATCAATATTAAAAAAGTTTTATTTAGTTATATCAACATATATTTTTATAATTCTTTGGCCACTTGTTTTCAATTTTCAAACATTTCATTGCACATATTATTTACCACCTATCAACACTTTTTAAAAAAATTATATGTCAATATTATCTAGACAAAAACTTTTCTCTTTGTCAATCAGGATTTTGATTGATGGTTATTTTTTCTTATATTTTATCTAGAGTAACATATAGAGCCGATCAGATTTTATGGCAACAGACACGGCATGGAAAACAAATCACACGATTGGGCACATGGAACGTTAAAGGCTTAAATGGGAAAGAAGTGGAATTGGTCGAAGAGAAGAAAAGAGCAAGGGTAGCCATCCTGAGGATAACAGAGACTAAGAAGAAAGGCAAAAGAGAACGGAGGATAGAAGACCACATATTATTATATGCCGGAGTCAATCCGGGGGAACATGGAGAGAGTGGTGTGGCATGCTTATTTCACCAAAACTTGGCTCACTGTGTAAAGGACTGGAAGGCTGTCAGTGACAGACTCATGCGAGTGGAAGTATGTAGCGGAGGGGTCTTATACTCACTACTCATAGAATACGGACCAAATGATAATGTCAATAGTCTTGAAAAGGAAGCATTTTTCGACTCTGTCCAACATGAGATCGATATATGCAAAGGCATACCAATAATTATGGGAGACCTGAATGGAAGAGTAGGGAAGGACTCGATCAAATGGGTGGCGCTTTGGGACCGGATGGTGAGGAAAGTTGTAACGACAAGAGCAAAAGAATTCTTAACTTTTGTCTTGCAAATGATATTCTCGTTGGAAACAGCTTCTTCCCACATGATTCACAAATATACAAGAGAGGAACCAAGTCAAAATGAAAGGTCTATTATCGACTATTACCTAATACAACGAGAACAAAGAAAACACGTAGTAGACATGAGAGCCAAAAGAGGCCACGAGATAGGTAGCGACCATCGGCTACTTATAATGAATATAGTCCTCAATAACACCGCAACCACACTGAAGCTAAAACTGGCAGCACAGAAGACACCTGGGAAGAAGATGACTTCATTGGAGAAGAAGAAGTTGCTGAGGCTATCAGCTCATTAAAGCTGGGAAAAGCTTCTGGTATCGACGGCATTGCGCCAGAAATGTTGTAATATATGGGTTCAAAAAGAATCGAACTGTTCCAGCACCTCCTTAACGTCATTTGAAAAAGAAAGTTATCCCAAAGGAATGGGAAGTCTCCATCATAATCCCAATTTTCAAAAATGGAGATAATCGTGACTGTCAATCAGGAACTGTCGAGGCATATTCCTACTCTGCATCCCCTAAAAAGTATATTCCAAGGTGCTCAAAAAGTGGCTGAGAAGCCTCATAGAGCAAAAGATAGGGAAAGAACAATATGGCTTCTGGCCTAACAGGATAACACAGGATCTGATATTCATGATGAGACAAATATCCTAGAAGATTATAGAGAAGAGCAGAGAGGCCTTCGCTTGCTTTGTAGATCTAAATAAAGCGTTTGACAGGGTGCAGAAGGCAGACACATCAAGAGCATTGGAGGAGTGTGGCGTTCATAGAGGATTGAGAAAAGCCATTCTCTATCTATGAAATATGAATGAAAGTCTATATGAAACACAGAAAAATGTTGTCAGGATGTGCGACCATACATCAAAAGAATTTTCAGCAGATCAAGGAATCAAAGAGGGATGCAGCCTTAGCCCGCTCTTGTTCATACTAGTGCTGGACTCTGCCCTAAAATAAGCAAAGCAGAAAATGAGGCCATACCACCTCGAATATAGGAACCTACAGCACGTCCAGTATACAGTGCTTGCTTTTGCTGACGATATGGTGGTGTTCGACTGTACCACTGCCAAAATGACTGCCGTAATCTGCAGTTTAACCTCAAGATCCTTCAAGCTAAGTTGAGGAATATAAACATGGAAATTAACATCTCAAAAACAAAATTTATGAGGATTGGTAGAAGATGTAACCGAAGAGACCGGATCGTTCTGCTGGGTGGAATCCGCCTGGAGCAAGTAATGGATTTTAAATACCTGGGTGCTCACCTCAACGAGTACAGATGGGTTGATGGAGACATAAAAGAAAGAATTAAGATGGCAGGAAAATGCATCTACTCCCTCAAGTCAGGCTTCTTGGACAAAAAGGAAGTCTCAAAAGCCACTAAGAAGATTGTCTTCAAGAATACCTTCCTCCCTATATTAACATATGCAAGCGAGTCTTGGACCCTCACTTCCAAGCACAAAAGCCAAATCCAAGCTATGGAAATGCGATATTTAAGGAAAATAGAGGGAAAAACAAGAAAAGATCGCGTTAGGAATGCGACCATAAGAGCTAATCTGGACCTGAGGCCTGCAGAGGAAATAATCCAAGAAAACCAACATAGGTGGTTTGGACATGTCTTGCGAATGGCTGAAAACAGAGTTGCCAGGGCTACCTACAAGGTCAAAGTGGAAGGAAGGCGGCCACAGAGAAGACCAAGAAAAAGATGGGAAGAAGGAATTAAAGAAGCCTTTGACAGGAGAGGAATGGACTGGAGTAGGAGAAGACAGCTAGCCCAGGATAGAGTTTCTTGGATCAAGCTCTATAAAAAGGGACCTCACACTGCTCAGCGGTAACAAAGAGGACTGGATTAAGTAAGTAAGTATATTTTATCTATATGTTGATAACCCAAAAAATAAGGGTGTAATGTAATGTAATAATAGTTGTGAGACCTGGACACAAACCATCACCCTAGAAAAAAGTATTGAAAGATTTGAGAGAAAAATCATCCGCACTATAACTGGAGCGATCTAGGATGGAGAAGAAAGACCAATAAAGAGCTGCTTACAGAAACTGGTCAATCAATGTCTCATGATATGAAGGCATATAGGTTAAAGTGGATGTGGAAGTGCCTAATAGGTGGAAGAAGATACTCCGGGAGGAAACAATTGAAGCATGGAACCGGCGGTGGGTAACAACCCCTAAAGGAAGTACATTGAGGAAGTACTTTCCCACAGTACAGTCAAGGCTTCAGGCAAAGTGGGTCCTCCCGGACTACTGGATTTCCCAGTTCCTCACGGGGCATGGAGGATTTCGAGCTAAACTTCACGGTCTGGGCATTGATGTAGATCCTCTATGCCCAATCTGTAGTGTTCCGGAAACTGTAGAGCACGTGGTCACGACCTGCACCGCGTTTGAAACGTTAAGAACGACAATGACAAGAGCCGCGGGAATCTATGTCCTCACTGAAAATGAGTTTCCTCAGTTAGTCAGTGAGGAAAATTTCCCGCGGTTTAAGGATTTCATAAATGGATGGAAGACTGCAGTGGAGCCCGCTCACTTCCATATTGGTGCTCGCAGAAGAAGAGGACAAGCGCCAGGAAGATCTCCAGATTCTGAAAGCTAGGCCGAAAGAAGAAGGAAGAAGATAAAACAGAAGAACTATATATGTGCATATCTAGTAGTAGTGTGTTATCAAGTATTGATGCCTAAAGCACACTGTTGCAAACACCCGTATTGCCATTGTGGCATGGGAGGGTGGAAATAAATAAATAAATAAAATAAAGGTTAAAGTGGATGGGAAATTTAGCTCGGAGCAATCCGTCTGGAAGCCTCTACGTAACAATGAATACCTCTATGTGAGGCAAATGACCACATGGAAGGCTAAAAAGCAGATGGATAGATAGAATCAACAAAGATGTAATAGAGCTTTATACAGATAACTGGAAAGAAATATCCCAAGATAGGCAGAGATAGATCAGACTTATGAAAGGGTCAAAATATCTATGAGGTCTGCAATCTCAACAGAAAAAGAAATTACAGCGTTTTCCATTTATTAAATTATTAAAAATTTTACCATTTATCAGATCTGCACTTTTTTCAAATTTTTCGGTTTGAAACAAATCGAAAAATTGCAAAAAAACTCTGTGATGTGATATAAGAGAGGAGATTGTCCAAGCCTTTATTAGAACTTTTTGGTTGAAAATTCGTAGTAGAATTGCTCGTGTTTTTTTGTCTTTACTTATTTGGAACACATTTTATTACAATATTTTGGAATGTATGATTTTTTCTCCTTGAATAAAAATATTAATGAATTCAATTTTCAGGTTTTTTACTAGCTGAAATGTTTGAAGAAGAGAAATTAATATCTTATGCTGGAATCGGAATAACTATGTGCATATTTTTGATTAATGGTAAGAAAATAATTTTTGGTATTGTATTAGTTTTCATACAAATGCTTTTGAAATTATAAATTTATATATTTATATTCTCATGTTAAAAATCATTGAAAGAGAACTTTATTTCTGGATTTTGAAAATTACTTAATGGTTATAAAATACTCTATTCAACTCATAATGAAGTTTATATTAAAATTAAAAACAACTTCACAAAAATTTCTTGTTCTCATAAGTTCTGTTCTACTTCAAATATTGATTGCTAATTCAATATTTTCTTATAATGAATGAATTAAGGATGTCAAAATAATTTTTTGAATAGGATTGCAATATATTATTTTTAAAGAATTTTTTTTTATACAGTAGACAAAATAAATGCATGTGATGAAAGGTCAGCAGTTATTTAGTTTATTAATAGAGGCCAAAGGTATTTTATGTACCTTAAATCCTAACTTCAGTAAAACAAAAGTCTAAATTGTATGATAATTAATCAATTAGTAAATATACTAGACACATTCACTAAGTAAGTACAATTTTAAATAATTTTGAACATTCAAAGACTCCCCACTACCATGGCTGATTTCAGAGATGTTAACTATTATTATTTCTAATTGTCCAATTCTAACCAGAAAGAAATTTAGCTGGTGCCTTGAACTCTGAGCTAATTTAAATATTTTATTTGGATAAATCTACTTCCATCCAAAATTTATCATCTGGAAATAAACAGCTTTAAATAATGGATGGTAAGAAAGGATTGAAAGTGGAAAAGGGCAGAAAATACATTATCTATAATAGTTAAATTAAAAGCAGAAAGAAATTTATCCCTTAAACAAAAGTTGAAGGAAACAATATTTAAGTAGGAAATTTTATGTTTTCAGGTTGCGTATGGCCTATGGAAGGAGCTCATGAATATATCAAAATGATCCATATTGTTGCTCCTATTGTTCCAGCTGTTGCCGGCTTCAATATCATGGCTACAAAAGGTTTCGGTCTAGAAAACATGCAAGTGGTAGCAGGCTTTATTTCATGCTTTGTATGGATAACTATATTATCTGGTCTTACACATTATTTTGCTAAGAAAAAGAAATAGTCATTTACTAGTTTTAAAATAATAATAATAGTAAATTTGTACAAATGTAATTTAATTTGTTAAAATAAATTTTTTATTTTTAAAAAAATATCTTATTAACTATTCAACCCAATTTCAATCTTACCCAGTCATGGAAAAAATTTAATATATATTTCAATTAGTAATAGATAATTTGGTCATATTCATTACACACTTGGTTCCCAAAAAGTATGAATTATAATTCATAATTAAAGCTGTCAACATTTTTGAAAAGATTAAAGGGGTAAAACAATTCAATCTTGGAACTTAATGATGTCGAAAAAAGAAGAAACATAAGCATCTATAAAATTTAATAATGGAAAAACTAAATTTAAGTAACTTGGTATAAAATTATATTTTTATGTATAAAGAAATAGAAAAAATTAATGGCTGTTCCTATTTAGAATTATAGGGAGTGATCAAGAATAAAATATTAAACAATTAAGTAAATAACCCTTGTGAAGGGTAAATGGAAAAGAAAAATGCATTTTTTAAAGGATTTAATAAACAAACATTTGTAGATCAAGAAAATAAGCTCAAATTATTCAATTTTCTGAATGTTAGAAAATGTTATTAAAAAATACACTGTAATACACTTTAATCTGATTTTATTCAAAGATTTATTTTATTCCTCAACATATTCCAATAATCCAAGGGGTATTTGATCTCAACCACCTTGGATTATTTCCATAGTACTGCATCAAGGTGTGTCTGGTATGGATAATGATGATAACTTCATTAAAGGTCAGGTAAAAATACAACGAGTCAATAAATATTATAGTACATAAAAATCAAACAGCTCTTTATTTTTTTTATAGGTAAAAAATTTATTTTAATCACATTCTTCAAAAACATTAATTAATAACAATAAGAAGTTATTAGTTGAAAAAGAAAGTATTTAATCTTTAGATTGATGTGTATTGTCAACAATGGTAATCTAAAAATTTAGTGAGAACATACTAATTACAATATATACATCAATATTAAAAAGGAAACATAATTAAAGCTTTTTACCATATCCTAATTATGTACAACAATGACACAATTCTTTTTACAGCTTAGCGCTCACGTAAGAGCATAAAAAGAGCAATTGGATTACATTTATAATTTATTTTCAACATTTAATATTTTTATTTTAGTTTTTACTCAACGATAAATGTTCACCTCCCAAAAGCAAATAGTTTCTATACATATATATTTTTTTTACACCATTCTTTTACATAAAATAATTATTAAAATAAGTTATTTAATAATATTTACAATACTATTTAACTTTTATAAATTCATTCTGATATACAATTTACATTCAAACATACAAACAATACATATTTACAAAGTTTTCAGATATCATATATACATTTACTTAATAAGGAAAGTGAAACAAGAATTGTCAGTCATGAAATTTGGTTCATTTCACTCTTAATTTAAAAGAAATAATATTACAATTGGAAAGACAACTTATATCTACTAATTAGTGATGCATACATAAATGCAAAGTACTTCATGTCAAATTAATCATTATGTTCTTTCAGATAGAATTTCGAAATATAAACCATTATTTAATCAGGCAGCTATTTTAGTCGCTGATCAGCAATTAATTTTATAGAGAATTGTGTATTAAAAATGTATATTGTAATAAAGTAGGTTAGATCGTTTCAGAGTTTCCTTACTCGTAATATATTAAAATAAAATGAGCTCAAAGCAAAAAAGATCAGAAATTCTATTTTAGAGTACAGTCAGAGAATAACATAACATTGAAAATTGTAAAATAAAAATTTCTGCACATTGTAATGTATATAAATAGTGTGTATTGTAGCCATTTGGTGCAAACAAATATTTTCATTTTTAACAAAAATCTAAGCCGAATATAGAGATATATTCACCATTAGAGTCAATACTGAAAATAACTGGAAGTATTCCTGAGTTTACAAACATGAAAAAAAACATTCAATTTAATTTATTCTGCGTGATTCATTTATAATTTGATGGTTATTCAGAAGAAATAAGGGACAGCTTTTTTTTACAGCGTAGTTAGCTGTAAGGTTATTTAGTGTACTTGATTTTAACCAAAATGGGCTTATTTTGTTGTTCTAATGAGGGCATCAATTTTATTTTATACAAAACAGATATATTTCATAAATAAAAAATGTTTAAATTATTATTTTTCATCAATAATGAAATTCCCATTTTTGATAATTTAAAGAGAATAATGATCTCAAAAATTAACTGTTCTAAAGAAAATTTTTTCAAATCGCAAGCCGATTTTATTTTTGATATGCATTTTTGTGATAGTAGTGTAATTACAACAAATTTTTTTTTCTAATAAATATATTATAAACAAGTTCTTTTAAGCATCACAATTTTTAAAAAATAGTTTATTAAAATAAAAGAATTTGATCGCCACTACTAAGTGTTTTTATACACACAAAATAGGCATAATAACGATTGGGGATGATAAACATAAACTAGATAAAACATAAAAAGTTTTGAATAGAAATTTAATAACTTATTTTATACAGAATACTTTCTATCCTTGCTGATTTTTACCTGGAATAGTGATGTTTGATTGTAAACGATTTATGTTTGAGCAAAATAAAATCAAATGATTGACCATCATCATCTACACTAAATTACTCAACAGTTTTTGTTAGCTATCTAAAGATGTCAAATAAAGTAGCGCATGGTACTTAAAAATTTTAAATACATGACTTTGTAAAATATAGCTTTTCATAAAATAGTTTTTCACATAGTCATTTAGCAGATAATTTAAAAAAAAATACTAAGCCGATATGAATTAATATATCATTTGTATTAAAAATAATTATTATATTTAGAATATAAAATGAAAGCACTATTTAAATGTTGAGTATTCCAAATAACAACAAAAATAGTGTACACATTTTGACAAGTAAATCATTTGAAATAATTTATAACGAATAAATTTAATAGATAAATTTTGTACCAAATAAATATATTGTAAATTTTAATGTACAGTTGTTAGTAATACTTAGTTTAAGAACAAAAGCTGAAGCATTTACTCATAATTATTCATATGAACTTTCAAAAATGACAACAAAAATAAAATACCTATTTCTAGATCTTAAATTTGTTGATTCATTTTTTTTTTATTTATGTATTTTTATACAGATAAGAATATGAACATTAACAAACTTTGAGATTTCTATTTCTATGCCACATAATCACACTACAGAATACGTTTAAATTATCACAAATTTTCAACGTGTAATCCCAATATGATTGAGATATACTCTGGTTCCTCTACCTAACTTTTCCTAATGTTATGCTTATATCCTAAATTTTTTCTCTGCAGGAACATATGAATTTCTTTGAATGATGGCCTGTCCAACTCTTTTCTTTGCCAACATTCGCACATGAGATCGTAGATTTCCTTATGGCAGTTATATGGTTGAGGTAACAGCATCTGTAGAAAGAAAAGTAACAATATAAATTACAAATGTTTTGTAATATACAGACTAGTTAAAAAAAAAAAAAACTTGATTCAACTTACAGGACCATAAATCATTCTATAACTTTTACCATTTATTTAAGTCAAAAGTTAATTAAACTATTATTTATATATTACTTTTAGTTTCAACTATTATATATACATGTTCAAAAATATTCAATAATTTAACTTACAGGTTTTCCAGTTGGCTTTTCAAATAGTTTTGCATTTTCTACAACTTTTTCATCGGTAAGATCTTCAAATGGTTGTTCACGAGCAAATGTGAGAATTTCCCAAAGAGTTACAGCAAATGACCAAACTACGCTCTTAAGGGTGTACTTATCCTATAAATTAACACCATATATATTTTATAAAATCTAAATATGCATATAATATATTGTGGGATTTTCTTTTCTTTTTTTTAAATTTAGCACAATAATAAAAATAAATCAAAATATTTTGATATTGATACAGCAACATAACAATGATGAAATCAATTTACCAGTAGAACGCTTTCCCAGGACATCCATCGAACAGGGCAAGCTCCTCTTCCTGGAAGTTCAAAATAATCAGCTGGATAAACACTTCTGCCGATTCCTAAATCGGCTATTTTAACACTGTAATCATTCCCAACTATACAATTCCTGAAACAAATATATACAAACGATATGGGTGAATTTGTCATTCCATAATTATTTGAGAAAAGCAAAGCTATAATTAGTATTTAAGTAGAATTAAGAGTTCCGAGATGAATAACAAATTGTTTATAAGCTGTTCATAATAAATCTTTTTACATCACGGATTATTGTCTATTTTCCTATTACTTTGAAGCATTTGAAAAATATTGATAAATTATTGGAAAAAATTACCTAGCAGCTAAATCCAAGACTAAGAATTTCTGTTGTTCTAAGTATTTCATACCAGCTGCTACTTGCGTTGCCATGTATATAAGGCATCCATAACTAAACATAAATATATATATACATAATTAGTTACATATTTTTTAAACTAATAATAAAACAATCAATCCAAAAACTGAAACTATTTAAATATGTACCTCAAAACGTTAGCATTGGTTGAAAGCCCAGCACTTTCTGCGACATAATTTTGAAGAAATTGGTATAAGTCTCCATACTCTGTGTATTCCAATACTAAAAGTAATGGTTCAACTTCTAAACAAGCACCAAGAACCCTTGATAAGTTTTCATGATGCAGTGGTAACAAGTCGTCTACTTCTTGGTGAAAGTCTTCCCTGTAACATAGATATAATGTCTATATTCATAAAGTGTACAAACATATCAAGTTGTTTTTCGTTTTTAAGCATGAATACAGCACAGTTTTTTAAAAATAAATAATTTGTAAGTAATTTTTCAATTACTGTAAAAAATTATACCTTAATTTCTCAGAAGACCCTTTCCGCAGTACTTTTACTACTATGGATTTACAAGAGTTTGGCTTAAGCCATTGTGGCATCTTTACCCATTCAAATAAATGGACCTAAAATTTAGAAAAAATACGACATTACCTCATAAACAAATAATTAAAGAAGAGCTTATAGAAATTGCATAACAAGAAATTTATTTCTTCATTTTATAATTAAATATAAAAAAAACAAAATTTTTATATTCACCTCTCCGAATTGTCCAACACCTAACTTGCTGACATATTTAAGATCCCTTCTAGATATTTCTCTGAGGGTTCGGTCGCCTTCACCTTCAGTCGAAGTGACCAGTTGACCATAAGACGAAGTAGAACTACTGGCAGCAACTGATGGAGGGGATGATAACGGTGGTGGTGGCTTCTGAAAAATATTTCTCTAGGTTAATTACAGATGTTTGTTTTTGATAACAATAAAACAAAATGAAATTATAGTTTTAAACTGATGGTCTTAAACTTATCTAGTCTGCCGATCTCCTTTTAAACTTTTTTTTTTCGGGACTCCATCCCAACCAAAGGCATTTTATGTTGTTATATTAATAATTATTTAGGTAAATAACTAGTTAAGTAACAAAATATACAAAAAGTATTGTACAGGTAGAAAATTCTGTTAAATGCGTAATTTAGATAAAGTGGTAATGTGAAGGATATGATGTTGATCTTAATATTGTTTTGCGGACCTCAAGGAATGCAACAATCACAGTTTGAGAACTTTAGAACTTTGGTTTAGTAGGCTACAGAATACTTATAATCACCAATCACAACTTAGATGGGCCTATGCAACATGAAATTACCAGAAAAGCAAAAAGAATAGAGTATAAATGTGATTAATTAAAAATAAACATCATCACTAGTAATATTAAAAGTTAGTTTTTGGCCAGATTTGTATTTTATTTTATATTAATTCATCTTTGTTATTTTTAAGGGGACTTAGTCCCAGAATAAAGTTCAATTTTCTATTCTATTCTAACATTTTTTTTTTGTGGTGAATCCTCCCCTTCCTCGCCTTTAGGCTATACAACGTTTTCCCAGGCCAGAGAGTGAGGGTGATTTAAAAGAATCCTTTGGCGCCGGTACGCGAACTCGTGACTATTTTTTATCAATATCTTATATATCAGGTTGCCGTGCAATGGCGGTGCAGTGCACACGTGTCAGCCCATTCGGGCATCATCACTTGTAACATTTTAAACTGATATCATTAAAAAATACTACATAAATTTTAAAATATACTTTATATGTAACATTAGTACTTTGAATATGGAAAATCTCCATATTGTCAAATATACTTAAACTATATTTGGATTCAAAGTATTTAAGATCAGATCGAATAAAAAAATTTCAATTTAAAATGCATATAACTGAAGTTTCATAGTCACGAAAGCACTGAATGTTTCTTAAACAAACAAAATTTGAATACCTGACAGATTTCAGTGGCTGCATAATACTTCTCTGGCGGAGGAGGTACTGGAGGAGGACTAGGAAAGAAGTTATGAAGTGGCGGTAATGTCCTCATTGGTGTAGGAGGAATATTACTAGCGTGAAATCCAGGTGGCATTGTGTTACCAACAAGAGGTACAGCATAGTCTTCTGAAAAGCAATAAACATGAAATATGTAATTTTGAGAAATCTAATTTTTATTTACTTACAAATTACATATTTAATATCTGGATAAACATGTTAATAATAGTAAATAATATTATTTCAGCTCATAATAATGTAATAGAATATTTGGCATTGTTACCAGAATAATCAGGGTTATTCAAGTTCCTCTGAGGAGGCTGGTTAGCGCCCTGGAAGCTGCAGAGGTTCATGTGGTTCATGAAAGGCTCGTGGTATAGGATGCTCTTCTCCGGATCTTCTATAGAAACCTGACCATAAACGTGTCCATTAGAGTTCACCTTACATCTCACCTGGATCTCCTTATAACAGAATGTGAATTCTTAAAATAAACATTCAGGGCCTAGTAGCTTTTTGAGAACTTACAATACTAATCTGGAGGTAGCCACTGAAAGAAAGATGCAAATCATTTAATGATCTATTATTTTATCACTGCGGGGATATGTTAGCAGCTTGGGAATGACTATCTATACTTAAATTAATTTTCGAGTTATGGACTTTTGTGTGATACAAAATATATATTTTCTAGTAGAGAAAGTAACTTTTCGAAATTGATAAAATTTCTAGAACTGCAATTTTAGAACAGTGACAGATGAAAGAGATGAGAAATGTGCCAAACACTAAGAAATCAAACTTCCAGCCAGCAGAGATAGGTGCTATTAAAAATAATAGTTGTTATCATATCCTCTGAGATCTACTGGTCCTATTTCACTGACAGGATATGCAATGTTAAGCAATTCGAGTTATTATAGGCTTGGTAGTTATTAAATTAACATTATAACTGAAAAATTCACAAACAACTGTTAGTTAAAAGATATAAAATTTTAAAATAATTTAAAACAATCCCAATTTAGGTTATTTTCAAACTTTAGCATACACTATGCTCATCATTGCTTCATGAAGAACTGACATAAATATAAACAATATTAGAAAATGAGCAGTAACGAAAATAAAGCTAACCCAACTGATGTGGCCTACTGGGTGGCACAGCCAGTGTGGATGGCACTTGATATACATTCAGCCAAGTGAAAAAAACTTAAATAATTATTTATTAATTTATGGTGATTGTAATTAGGTTCTTTTCAGTATTTCCATGAGAGCATTTCAAAAATATAGTGAAGTAAAATAGTACTTAGAAGGTAAGGATAAAATTGACAAATTTTTTATGGAAGGGGTAGAGAGACATACAGGAAAAATATTTGCTTTGTAACGTAGTCATTCCTAGACATACCACTGAATACGAGTCATAAAATCTCAATACCATTGACGTCTATTTTTCATTTAAAAAAAAAAATAGTTTTGGAATTTTATATCTCAAACATATAAATGTATTATACTAATCACAGATGGATCTATGGAGGGGAGGGGGAGGGGAGAGTTTGGGCTGAAGCCCCACTAAAAAAAAAAAATTGTAAAATATAACCATGTCTTATGAAAAAATATTTAATAATTGCCTCTAAAAGTATTAATGTTCGTGTAATTACATTTAATAGTACTTAAAGAATCACTTAAACTCTATTTCATATATGTATTTAGTTCCCTTCTTTTTCTTTCTAAGTAATTATCATTACATATTTAAAAAAAAAATTTTGCGGGCTCAAGTTTCCCCAAAACTAAATTCTGGATCCGCTAGTGATACCAATAGGTTATCTATAGAATATTTAATACTTAGTATATAAATAAATATAAACTACATTGCAAGACATTAACAAGATACAGCTAATTCACTACAAATTCTTTTGATTGTTCACTAAATATTTACAACAATCCCTAAACTGCTTTTACAAGTTCCTAGTCCTTCAGAATGCTATATAGATATAAAAATAAGGCTATTTTTTTTTAAAGTAATTTTATTTAATTAATAGGGAGATAGAAATTATATAACTAATGTTCAATCAAATTTAATTAATTATTTAGTTGTAGATAATTTTTTCTTTTGAGAAGAAGTTTAAAAAAAATATTGAAAGGAATTATATATAGAAAATAAAATTGATATACATGATTCTTTACATTTTTCTCAATCTGGAAGTCATCTGTTGGTTGAGGCTGGCCCGCCTTCTGCCTCCTCTGCCTGAAGACAATGAACGATATCGCTGCCATAAGAAGCAATATGACACCCGTCAACGCTCCGATCAAGAAGCCAACCATCTGCTTGTTGTCAGGTTCTTTACCTCCGTTGTTTGTACTAATAGCACTACCAATGCTGCTAACTGTTAAAATAGATTTATGAGGAATTAATAAATTAATTAATCAAAGGTAAAAAAAATTATAAAATCTTTAAGTCCTAACAAAAGTGAAAAATAAATATTATTCCTAATCATAATATATATTAAATAGAGATAAAATATATTAAAGATGAGTTTAAAAAATTCTAAAATTAGCAATTTTCAATAGAACTTTTAATGAAAATTTTTGAGGTCAGTTTAAATATTTGATATTTCTTAATCAGTGGTAAACTAATAAATAAAGTAAGTAGTCATTTTTACAATTTTATTTCTTAACTTTGAGGAAAAATGCAATTATGTGTGCATAAATATATAAGTATATATTTCATTAATAATTCTTGTGATTTAGTTTTACTTAATTAAATTTGTATGATTAACACACACATACACATACACACACACACACACACACACACACACACACACACACACACACACACACACACACACACATATATTTAAAACAGATTATAAATTATGTAATATTTCTTATCTCTATTTTCAGATAAATAAATTTGGTTATTAAATAGTGAATATAAATTTACTTTATTTTTATTTTATTGTCACATTTTATGTTTCGTTTAGAAGTCAATTTTTTTCATTTTTGCTTATGTGAGCATGTAACATATCAAATATAATATAATATCTAAATTAAATATTCAGAGATAACTCGATCATATTGTAAATAATACTTATAACACCGCTTGCATAAAATGCTTTAATTTAGTGATGTAGTTTACTTAACTATGAAAACTTCTAAAACAGTTTACCTGGCCTTCTGGTCTCTTCTTTACTAGGTGTAGTGTGAACTGCATCTCTTTGCAGGGGAATATCTTTGCTCTGCTCAACGTTCACCCCGGCCAGAATATTGTTTTCGATTTCTTCTTCACTGATGTTTTCGGGAACAATAACTGCAAATAAATCAAATAATTGGCTATATATTTTTTAAAAATTATATAATTGTAAAAACATTCCCTTTCCTTTTATTAATAAACTGGCATATATGAATGGTAGAAAGTACTTGGTTTCTTTCGCATAAAACGGTGGGAGAAAGTTAAGAAGTCACAAGACCAAGTAAAAATAAACAAGAATCATTGTCTCTTTAATGTTTTAATTTTATCGTTACTATTTATTATATGAATAATTTATTATTACAATATTATATTTTTATAAATGCATTTTTTTTTTTTTTTTTTTTGGTTAAGGTTTAAATTTGCTCATATACTTCTGTTATACATTGTATATGTATATACATTGTATCATATACTTTTTGTGTAATAAATGTGGCATATTATTACAAGATATTAAAAAAATAAGTGATAATATAATAATAAAGTGCTCGATGCTATTACCAACAATAGATATTTACGTCTCCTCCACTGACCACTGTCCAAAACAAAATCCGCAAGATTAGCAAAAATAAAATCCTTCTACCTACATTTTGCTCTATCCCTCGGATGGTAATCCGTCTGCTAAGTGCCAATTTATTAAAATATCTTTGAGATTCGTTTTGTATGAAGCCGAATAACTTTCATCACCATCGGCAGCGTTAATTTCAATTGTATTAAAATAGTGCATAAAAAATTCAAATAAAGAAGTAAAAAAAAACAAATAAAAGAAAAAAATGGGAACAAAGAGGCTGTCTGTTTTCTGCCTTTGCTATTATCTTGTTTTTTTCACGTAAATTTAACAGTGAGGCGAGATTTCTAGTAACGTATATTCTAAATGGACTGAAGAATAATGGTTGTTCACAAGTCCTGAGATATTTATAACTACCAATGAGAGTTTCTTGAGGGTTTACGACGAGCTTAAGTGTCGTCGACCAGGGCAGACATTCATTTCCTCGTTGACAACTCTCCAGGAAAGTTCATGAATGAAAACAGTATTAAAACGACATTTTACAAAGTCGTAAACATTCCAAGTTAGTAAGAAGAAACTATCAATAGAAAACACTTGTATAATTTGACAATTTAAAATCAAATTCCTGTTGTATCTGTGTTCATTTACGAGAGGATGTAGCGCAACTTAGTTCATATTCTGAGGGTATCAGGTCTTGAATTCGATTATTGACGATAGAATATCATTTGGTCCCGACTGGTTGCGCGGGAAGTGGATCTGTTTTATGTCAGTACGCAAGGGAAAGTAACCGCGCTGAATTGCGCACAGTAGGTGGGTGAGGATCTGGCACCGACGGTATAAAACGACATGTAATGGTTGGAGCGGATGGCGAATATAAAATGCAATCCTAGACCGATATCCGGATTAGGTGATCCAGATTGCGTGGGAAGTTTATCGGGAACCCTGTCAAATAATAACAAAAAGGCTTAATGGTGTGTTTTATACTGAGCATGGATAGTATTCAAATGAAACATGTATTACTTTGGTAGATCCGATAAAAATCTGAATAAAGAAGTTCAGATTTTGCATCTTCCCACAACTGCATCTGCTTGAATCAATTGTCCACTTGCGGTACACCCAATGGATTGCCAATAAGCGAGTGTGATGGATATATTTCTATTTATCTATTTTATAAATAAAAATACACAAATATAAAACAGTTAATAGTTACCATAATAATATCATTATTTATTGGGTTTTCTCTACAGTTAGATTAATTAAACGTCCTAATACGTAGTGGCATATCTTGAAGTGTAAAGTGTGTAGCGGAACCCATTTATGTAGTTTTTTTTTTTTATTTATATAATAACTTCATTGCAAAATAAATACAAAAATATTTCTTAAATGATAGAACATTTTGTATTTTTTGTTTTATATTAGTGATTCTCTCTTTCCGGATCTGTTTAATTAATCTTCTTTATACATTCCAACTAAAGAATATCCACTAATTAACCATATGGTAACCCCGCTGTAATGAAAGATCATATTCCTAACTAGAATATGTCGAATACCAGCAGGATAAATAGGTAAATATATCGTATGGGTCATAAATGATCAAGTAGGGGCAGAAAACAAAAACAACAAAAAAAAACATGCTTTTTAGAGCAAGATATTCAAAACACCCAGGACAGCAACTCAGAAATAGTAAGAAACCAGAAAATGAGTTTTAATACATATTTTTATCATTTAAATTAAAAATTATTCCTAATAAGAACAGTACCCTTTAAAATGAATATTTCTTTAAACTAATGAATAATTGAAAATAACCATTACACATTCTTGATGATTATCTAAATAACAAAGCACTATTGTAATTAATTTATAAAATTGATTCTTTCTTCGTTTATTTTTATTTATAATATAATGGGGTTCTCACATAGGAGCACCACTCCTAATAATGGAATGAATCTTACTGGTTTCTCTAGCGTGAGGATTTTTTCAAATAATATTCCAAGAACAAATTAGTCTGACACAATATCGATTTATTAAGGTGTTCCAATTTTCTAATAAAAGATAAAGAACATCGATTATTAATTACATGAGTGGCTTAGTATAAAATAGAGACAAGTTTCATTTTTAAAAAGTGGAAAAATAGCCAATTTTTTGGTAACATAGCTGATAAAAAATTGATTTTTTTTACACTTTCTAAAAAAGTGTACCGCTAATTGGTCTGACTTGGCGAGCATTCCAGCTAATACGGCGGGATCCAACTATAGCTATTTGGGTTAGGAAGTAATCTCAAAAAAAAAAAAAAAAAAAAAATATATATATATATATATATATATATATATATATATATATATATGGGGCTGGGGTAGCCTTGCGGGCTAAGGAGCTTGCAATAGGTAATCTAAGTTAAGCAACGCCGAGCGTGGACTTGGATGGGTGACCGTCCAACAAGGAAAGCCACGCTGCCCGAGATTATTCTTCTCCCCCCCTCCCCCGGGTATGTGAGGCCCGTCAGCCTACTGGGGACAACTCACACAGGGATTAATGACCTTATCCCTCCGAACTTTAAATCGGGAATTGGGATGTGGTATAGGAGACCACACTCGCGGTCAAAGACCTTCATGGTCTGTAGCGCCCACCGAAAAAAAAAATATATATATATACCTGTCGCTGTCAATAATCAAATATAAATTGTTTATATGTTTGTTACTATTTTATTTATTTTACCAACGTTTGATTGAAAGAAGGCAGCTGCTCCACTTCGGCTACGCCCAAGAAAATGCTTAAGTTACTTCTGTTCTGCAGAACTAAAAAAGTTCTCCTAAGTTCTTGTTCCCCTCCAAAGACAAGTCCCCCCGGAGAGACGGATCGGTGTGGCTTGAGGGGAAGAGGGGGCCGAAGCCCAGTGACCGACCGGCCCGCATCTCTGCCGGATGCCCCCATATCCTGCCTCCGATCCCGATCTGTTTTATTTATAATCTAGAACGGCAGCTGTGCCAGCTCCCGTCCGGATAGCTCCTTTGTCCGCACTGATTTCTGGCCCAGGAGCTTCTGATTGAGGGGTTTGTCCTCTAGCCTCCCACGATTTATCTATTATATTCCCTTTATGTAAAGTACATTATTTGTTTTTAGTACTTATCTATATAAATAAAATAAAGATTTTGTCTGTACATTGAATAGAATCAACCTATTTTATGATATCTTTCCGTTTCATACATTGCAGAAACCAAATCTAATTTTAAAATTTCTTTTTCTGTCTGTATATCCGAATTGTCCAACGAATTTTTGTTATGAGTAAGCTCGGCAATGGCTAATGGTACACTTTTGAAATTTTTGCATAATATTTAGGTTTGCTTTACTTAAAATATAGGCTTTAAATTAAAACAAAATATTGAGTAGAACCAAAATTATGAATTCTTGACTAATTTGTTAAGAGATCTCGGTTATCTAATTATTTACTTCAAATCACATCCCAACCTACTCTATAGTGAGTAACATTTAAAAGTTGCACTACTCAACTGATGGAAAAAATTATCACAACACAACGAGAAAAATCGGGAATACCGAACATCTGTAACGCGTTGTCGCATAAAACGGGTAAAGCACACTCATTTTTCAACTTTGTCCGATCTTTCCGTTCAAGGTGCCATTGGATTCAACTTCCCGAGCCTAACAACTGTTGTAGTAAACATTTTTAGCCGGATTAGCCCTCTAGCGGATCCAGGATTTATATTTGGGGGAGACTTAAGCCCGAAAGTTGTTTTTTTCATAAAAATAACGATAATTACTTTGGAAAAAAAGAAAGAAACTAACTACCTATATGAAATGGTGTTTAAGTGATCCCTAAAGCCCTCTTAATTGTAATTACACGAACAATAATACTTTAAGAGATACTTTTTAAATATTATTTTCGATAAAACATGGTTATATTTTACCATTTTGGGGGGGGGGGGGCTTCAGCCCGAAAGCCCTCCCGTAGATCCGCCCGTGGATTAGCCGGAAATCAGGAAAGAAAACTCCCAAAAATTTCACCCATTCTCAAGTTCTAATTATACACGGATGTTGGTGATTCAATGTTCACTGTTATTTTGGTTATTTTGGCAGCAATACACTCAGCAGAGTTGAAGAAGTGGAGAGACTACGACTGTTTTGATTTATTAACCAACTCCACAATCTCCTCGCTTCATCATAAATGAAAATTAAACACTTAACAAATATTAATGGATCGGTGGTGGTCGGTTTATTTTTGTGGTACCTAAACAAATAGCCGAACAACAAAGTTTTTGTTATGACTATTGCGAAACCTTGGCTTCAATAAGCCCCGCCATAAAAAAATTCAAAAGAACTCCCCTCCCCACTCCTGACCCATTTTTATGAAATTGAATTAGGACCCTTCCCTCCATAATCCAAAATCCATCTCAAAAAAAGATTCTTAAATTTTAACTATACACCCGTCAACGACGGGTACATCAGCTAGCCAAAAATATAACAATATATTGTAGTTTTAAAATATGTTTAAAGGAGTCTGCCTTACAGGAACGGTGATCACGCATACGCTATTTAA